TCCGCAACTCAATGCGATGAGCTTATCACGCACGAAAGGGTGATGCCCAATCTTTTGATATTTGATTGACACTGCCTTGCGCCATCTCCGGGCCAACTGTCTTTTGCTATTAGAGCCCCCTCCACGCGCCCTTCCCCCCACATCTCCCCAAACCACCACCACTATGCTGCGCGCTCGTCACGCATATCCATTGAGAACATGCTTAATATCAGCGACGAGTCATTAAAGGTTACACAAATGCCTGTATCTTTATTACTGTACTACGGTATAGCATAAGCCCTAGCTATCATAGCATTTAAGTACTGTATTAGTAGTATCTCAGATATATGCTCTGAGCGCGAATGCAGGCTGCATGGCATGGTGTGCTCTGCATTCGTTTGCCAGGTGTGTTTAGATCAGCATCACCTGCCGTCAGGTTGAGAAAACGCTGTCGCTCTGCGGCCACTTGTTGAATAGACATGAAATAGCTACTTTTCTGCCCTGACATGCGAAGGAGTAAGTGTCGGATAAGCCGTTTGACTCCAAGACGGGTAGGCCTGCGATCCGTTAACAGGCATTATGTTACTGTTACTGTATAGAAAGAATTTGACTGCCGCCGTTGCTAGTAGAATCTATACATCCTGGCATGTATTGAGGCTTACATGTCACCAGTGAATATGTCAAAATAAGCTAAAATTGGTTTGGAGGCATAGGTGACATGCCCTCCTGAAATCGTATAATTCTATTGCATTCTGTACTGTCACGTGTGCTTACAGGTAACGCTATTCCACTGCCGTGCCACTTGCCAGTGCACTATGGTTGGTGCTATGGTGTAGTTTTGCCCGCGTTAATTAGTTACAGGTGGCAGCTCTCTATTGCAGCCTGGCTTGCGTAGGTAAATGATGAGTGCTTACCTATTCTGATCTTGCCCCAAATGTTGTTGCCCTACTACTACGATGGGAGCTTCCATCTTTAATCTTAATGACACTTTAAACGTATCGCGCCATCTCGTCGCGAACTTTCATAACGATCCTGATACCATCCTGTACCCCTTCAACTGCTTTGGGTTGTATGTGAACACATTTGCGCGACTAACAGGGGTTTAGTAGAATCCCACCCACTCCACCACAGAGTCACCGCAGTAGACGTTAGCATTAAGCGCTGCGCTCGCGCGCACTTGTTTCTTGCAGTGAACGGTTTCGCTGAATTCCCAGAAAGGTATTATACACGTTCGCCACGCACGCACGCACGCATGCACGCAGCATCCTCCAACGGCGAGTGGTGGCGGCTAGTTCTACATAAGTTTGTGTGAAAGCGCCAAGATTATATACAGTGACACAATCAGTAGCAGCTGTGATAAAAAAGCACTAGTTTTTTTTGAATGTGCCATTCATATTATTTCAGTTTTTAGTGATGTCTAAGTCCCTGCCTGCTACCAACATATATATGCAGCTTTATGTGCTAGCAATTACTAGCAATAGCGGATAATAACTGTCACATTAGCCTTGATCAATCTGAAGCCCCTGATCATTCATGCTTTCGACACGCTGCATCTTCAAAGGATCACTTTCAAGTTAAGCTTTCTTGTTTCTGTCATTCCGTATTGGATTCTCTCCCTCGCTGTACCATAGTTATTGCAATTTTGAGGCTTTCTACTGCCGATTCTGCAGTGTGATAAGCCTATTTGCATCAACTATGTCTCAGTCCGTTCTTCATTATAGTCTCTTGCTTTGAGCGATAATATATTTATGAGGTTTTACACAATAATGTTGTGCAAAAACTAGGGAACAGGGTACATCTTAAAATTTAGATACTAAATTATCAATTAACCAACAGCAGCACCAGATCCTTGTACGTCATAGATTTAAAGATAGTATAGATATCAAAGAGGAATAGCATACCTTATTTAGTAACCTTGTAAAATATGCTAGTCCTAAAATTTGCAAAGCGGACTTATATTGAAGATAGCCAAAGAAACAAAGCCGTGCGATCAAATTGACAGATCAACACTGCCGCAATCGCCAGTAGAACAAAAGACCTCAAGTTCTGCCAACAACTAAAAAGAAGGCAAACCGAGACATAGCTATGAAGATAATTCTTGTAAGGCTTTTAGTTAAGCCTTAACCCGGGTTAGCTTAACTCAGCGCGCATGAGCGTGGTTAAGCTAATTTACGCTTAAGATCGTGTAGACGCACGTGAAATCATGTACTACGAGCTAAGTGGTAGTTACAGTAGACCGAATAGGTGGTGACACATGGCATTAGTGACATCCAGGTTACTGCTCCTTTCCACGACTTTTCAAACGATTCACAGATTTGCCATATTTGTAAGCTTTTTGCGATATTTTCAAAATAATATACGGATCAACGCCAGAAAGAAATAACTGTGGCCGAAAAAGATCGAGGTACAGTACTTCGTTCATGCGTATACTTGCATTACCGCCAGTAAACCCCGTCTCCACGAGCTGCCCGTTAGATTAACTCGCGTTAAGACAACTCCGTGTGGACGTTATGCGTGTTTCTGAACTCGGCTTGTTAAGCATACAGGCCCATGCATTATGCATCACGTTGCCACGAATGCTAGAGTAACTGGCACCTTGTGCTAGATTAATAATGTACATAACTTATAGCCTAACGCGTATTAGCTTTGGCTCTGAATATCACTGCTGCGTTACATTACCAAGCAAGCACTTGAAAGTCGGTTGTTAGCTCATCTGACAATAGTCAAATGCAGCTTGATAGATCGCATGAGCCGTCGCTGTCCGTGCGTCCGTCCGTCCGTGCGCTCCGTCAACAAGTTGGGACAAATCTAAACGGCTCACGTACGCGATTCGAAAGTCGGGAACGTGTGGGCGGTATCGAAACGAGTTGCGATTGATCGAAGCTGTGAGGTCAAAGAAGAGTAAGCTGTGATACTTTTGCACCCTCAAGAGGAGGCGGTTAAACATGCGATTTGTGACGTTAACAAAAGGACGCTGAATGTCTTTGCTATTAGGAGCCCCTCCCCACCCTACCCCCTTCCCCCACCCTCCCCTCCCCGCCCCTATACCCCCACCTCCCCCCCACCCCCTTCCCCCACCCTACCCCTACCTCACATCTGCGTTAGGTGGCGTGTCCTAACAATGATGTGTACGCAACTGCGTAGTCTTGCCATATCTGCGCCTAACAAATGGGGTACTAACGCACGACTTGAAATTTTACGATTTATAATCGTAGCCAGCAGACCTCAGATGAGCCCAGCACGCTCTGCGGCTCTTGTTGATATTCATTACGCTGCCGCTAATAGTCATCCAGGAGTCAAGCGATTGACTGCGCCATGACGTAAAAGCATTTCGTGCAGCCCGTATGTTTGGACGCCAGATGAATATGGCAGGTGTCAGCTGTGTAACCACGGCCATGGACTGAAGATGGAAATGGAGAAAACACACGTTACTTAATCACGGACGCACATCATACGACAGCCCTGACAAAAAGTCCTTATCACGAGCCGTCCGTCCGTTTTACGGAACACTGATGATAGATTTGCGTACGGCCGAGCATACGTCGAAATGTCCGGTGCACTCATAAATCTTATCATACCGCTTCGCCGCGCCACGCGCGGTTGAAACTGTTTAAACAACTGATTACTTGGACTGCGGATCTCAATTACGCACATTTCTTAGTAAACCTGCAGTGATAATTGGACAAATTAATAGCTGCCTTTGGCATATAAGGCTTACTGTACTTCATAAACTACACAAGCTGCGAGTTACTCTAGCATTCGTTCAACATTGCCAGAATCAAAGCGGGCATAGTATGCCTTTAAAGAAAACTGTCAACTCGGACGTTAGCTTAACTCGGCGTTAAGGTGGGACTCTGTGTAGATGAGGGCTTTAGCTTGCGCCCATATATGCAGTACAATGAAAGTATCGCGCTACCCTCTTTGAAATTGGTTTGAATTATAAACATGATATACCGGGGAAAAATACTAGTGAGGCAGTGTGTGCCATGTTGCAGAGTACACTTGCCGAGCATGTAACAAGTTAAGGTCCAAATGGGAGAATAAGAATCTTTTAATTAATGGAATTTTTTGTTTTTAACGCCTACACAGGTTTTCCATTAAAAAATAGTGCAGGCTCCGTATCAATGTGAAACAGTCATGCAGACGTTAACCGCTGAACCAATCTTCGTTCCCATGACATCTTCTACGAACTTGCACCACTGCACCGGGGATTATTGCTTGTGGATATATATATTAGCCTGTAGCAACCCAAGCACCGGCTTATGCGCCTTAAAAATGAACCCGTTCATCAAACTACCTCTCTTGAGGAGTTCTCCTAAGAGTCATTCGTTTTACGTTATCGTTTAGTTATTGTTATGTTTTCAGTTTTTAATGACATTGCCAATATCACTGTTCTCATTCTGTTGCAGAAATGGCTTTCTACATTGTTGACAGATAAAAGCTTGATTTGATCATCGCCAGAAGGATTATGTTTCGTACAGTCATAGAGACTTTGGCGCTACCGCTGGCATTCGCCATCGTCACAGAATGTGAATGAATAAATGCTGCTTGCAGTTTTTGTTAACTAAGTTGTCGAATACAATTGGCAAATGATTACCTGCTTCACTAAATTACGCATTGAATAATGAAATAATCTAACCGCTGTTTATACAGTCAACAATGTCTAAAGCCTGAAGGCCAAGTTCGGTGATGATGTTGACCTTTTTTCCCGCAGGAAGTCGAACGACAGACGGGAGAACCTGCGCGCGCGAAGGCGAAACTGCTTAGCTTCCCACCCGTGTGCATGGAGTTTTCCCACTTAAGATATTGCTGCTGCAGAAGGAGAGAAATCGCCACGCGTGTGATATGTGTTGGGACACAGATTCGCCCGCTAGAGAAGCCATCTGCGGACCACAGCGCTCAGTCATTCAGATGAGAAACCTATGTGTGTGATATGTGCTGACTACAGATGCTTCAGATGTGTGGAGCTGAAGCGACACAAACCACACCCATACAACGAGAGAAAACCCTACGTGGTGTGAACACATGTGCACTACAGGTGCACTCAACTATCCACTCTTAAAACACACAAGCGAACTCACACAGGAGAGAAACCCTTTTCGTGTGACACATGTGACTACAGGTGCACTCAACTATCCGGTCTTAAGTCACACAAGCGAACTCACACGGGAGAGAAACCCTACAAGTGTGATATGTGTGATTATAGATTCTCTAGTATGACTCGCCTCAAGGAACACAAGCGCATTCACACAGGCAAAAAGCCTTATGCATGTGACACATGTGATTACAGGTGCCGTCACCTATCGAGTCTTAAGGCACACAAGTCCTCTCACACAGGAGAGAAACCCTTTGCGTGTGACGCATGTGACTACAGGTGTACTCAACTATCCAGTCTTAAGTCACACAAGCGAACTCACACAGGAGAGAAACCATATGCATGTGATACGTGTGACTACAGATGCTTTCAAGTGGCTAAACTCAAGCGACACAAACGCATCCATACAGGAGAGAAACCTTACGTGTGTGACATTTGTTCATGTTCATATACTGAGTTGAGAGGTTTGAAGGTGCACTTTCGAACTCACTCAGGTGAAAAGCCATATGCATGTGACAAATGCGAGTACAAATGTACGTCATACAATACTCTCAAGACACACAAGCGCTCTCACACGGGAGAGAAACCCTACAAGTGTGACAAATGTGACTACAGGTGCACTAAACAAGTCAATCTTAAGACACACAAGCGAACTCACACAGGAGAGAAACCCTACAAGTGTGACACATGTGACTACAGGTGCACTCAGCTATCCAATCTTACGAAACACAAGCGAACTCACACGGGAGAGAAACCCTATGCGTGTGATACGTGTGATTATAGCTGCTCTCAAATGGCTTGCCTCAAGCGACACAAACGCATTCATACAGGAGAGAAACCCTATGCGTGTGATACGTGTGACTACAGATGCTCTGAAGTGGCTAAACTCAAGCGACACAAACGCATCCATACAGGAGAGAAACCCTATGCGTGTGATATGTGTGACTACAGGTGCAGTCAACCAGCAAATCTTAAGACACACAAGCAAACTCACATGGGAGGAAAGCCCTAGACACGTGATAACACACTGCCAATGACATAGCTACTGCTTGCACGTGATATGTGTGGATATATTTCCTCTCCAGGATCGCTGCTATTCTCATATGTTGTTTTAACCTCCCCCCCCCCCACCATCTTTCATTTTCCCATTGCTGATCAGTTCTCAGAAGTGCTTAGATCTATGCACACACGCGCGCACACAGTGCACACACGCGCACGCACACACCCGCAGCCCACCCCAACAAAGCGACCATACAAAATACACACAATCGATACGTTACTGCCAACATGTGGACGTTTGGTATTATGACAATAGCTGAAACGAAAAGAAATGAACATTTCGAAAAAGAGTTCCAAGAAAAACATCTAGCAGACCTATACAAATTACGTGACCGGTGTTATGAAGAAGAAAGAATACAACATTACGTACATTTAGAGATGATCACGCCACAGCGGCATTGCATGATTTCCGAATATTCTGCACGCTACTACGTTACGACGCACAAACAATGGGGTATATGTCCTGCATTTACAATTTTAGATCCCTCACTTAATATGCGATAAATATAGGTATATATTACTGTCACTGTATTCGGATCACATGTTGTTGTTTTTCATGGATCGCCAAATGAGAATGAATAAGTAAGCTGCGAGGTTTTTCTAATTCGACATTCGAACTGTTACGGCGGCGTATACCGGCGCGGAGCCGTTTGGATTGCGTCCGCAGATGGGCGGCCAAGTGACGATGCGGCGGCGCTCGTTGTCTGCGCCGACAGAGGGGATTGGCTAGCCGCTATCCAGATAGTATACAGGAGATCAACTAGTAATGCTCTTTATATACTTCACAAATACTTCTACTATGAGCCTTACGAGGACGCGCAGCGCGATATCATGGCCACACAGTAAGATTGTTTTTAGAAAAAATGTGATCTGTCAGTATGCCCTATACGATTTCTGATCAGTCCTGGTGTCGTATTCGCTACTGCGCAGTGTGCGTGTATCACGCCCTCGTTTGAATGAGTGCGCCGGGTGTTTTTCATAACTGCAGCAGTAAACTTCCATCCACACTTCTCACTACGCAAATGGCTTCTCTCCCGTGTGAGTTCGCTTGTGTTACCTTCGAGTTACCGAGGGTAGTATATCTGTGATTCACATATATCGCACGCCAGTCTTGCTCTCTGCCCGTGTGAGTGGCATGTGTCTTTTAGAGCTTACCGACGTATAAACACTTATATTCGACATCTTCACATGCAAACGGTTTTCGTCTCCCGTTGTGAATGCGCATGTGTACTTGAGATAACCTCGAGTTCGTATATTCTGTGTTCATCATTGGTATCGCACACGTACGGTTTCTCTCGCGCGGAGTGACGTGGCGCATGGTGTGACTTGAGATAACGGCGTAGCGTGAGTATATTGTGGTTCACATATCTCAACTCATATGGCCTTTTCTCCCGTGCTGATGCGGCAACTGGCGCATGTGTACTATTTATGATCATTGAGTCCTCTTACACCTGTACTCACAACGTACTTTGCTACGTAAATTGGGCGCTCTCTGCCCGTTGAGTGCGCATGTGTGACTTAAGCGATAGAGGACGTATAACACTTATATTCAATCTCTCACACGCAACGCATTCTCTCGCGTTTGAGTGAGTGCGCTTGTGCACCTTCCAGACTATCGAGGGTAGTAGATCTTGTGTTCACAGTATATCGCCACGCATACGGTTTCCTCCCGTTGAAAGCGCATTGTGCACCTTCAGCGACTATCGAGGGTAGTTTATATCTGTGTTCCACATATATCCGCAGCGCATACGGTTTCTCTCCCGTGTGAGTGCGCCATGTGTCTCTTAAGCGTTCGGACGTTAGAACACCTGTATCACACTTGTCGCCACACGTACGGCTTCCTCTCCCGTGTGAGTTGCGATGTGCTCTGAGATGATTGCGAGTTCTTACACCTGTTATTCACAACTTATCGCACGTAACGGGTTTTTCTCCTGTGTGAGTGCACATGGTGGTCTCTGGAGATGACCGAGGGTTAGTATATCTGTGTTCACATATATCGCACGCATATTAGACTTCTCTCCGGTGTGAGTGCGCATGTGTACCTTTTGCAGATTACAGAGGGTAGTATATTTGTTTCACATATATTTTTTTCACAGCATACGGCCTCTCTCCCGTGTGAGTGTGCATGTGTGACTTAAGCGATACAGACGTAGAAACTTTATATTCACATCTCTCAGCATGCAAACGGTGTTCTCTCTGTGTGAGTGCGCAGTGCTACATTGCAGTTGACGAGAGTCCTATTTAACTGTGCTTCCACATATATCGCACGCATACGGCTTCTCTCCTTGTGTGCGCTGCGATGTGTACCTTGAGATAACTGCTGCTGCCTACACACTGTGTTCACATATATCGCCACAGTAATATGGTTTTCCCCGTAGGTGAGTGTGCTGTGTTTCTTAAGCATATCAGACGTAGAACACTTATATTCACATCTCTCACATGCATATGGTTTCTCTCCTGTGTGATTGCGCATATGTTTATTGTGGTAACGTAGCTTGGAGCTGGCATATCCACACACATCACACACGTAGGACATCTCTCCTCCAGGCGTGGCAATATCTGAATGAGAAGGCTCATCAAACAAAATCGAGCGTGCTCAGTTCTGCTCGTTTCGCAGCTTCTCGCTGTAACGCCTCTCCT